GTAACCCTCGTGTGGGAGCAGGGAGTAGATGGCCAGGTGTGCCTGTCTGTCCCTCAGCCACGTCCCACAGTCTTGAGCAGTTGCTCTCTCTTTCCTCCTGTGACAGGAGGTGCACCATTTGGATCCAGTGCGACAGCGCACACAGTTCTGAACGTTGTTAAACCTCTTGTCACTTGTGAGTTTTGTCCTTGGTTTAAAAAGTACTGGGTGTGTGTTGTCCTTAAAACGTAAGCAAGATCCAGCCCCACTCGGGTTCAGGCAGAACTAATAAGTAGCCAGTGAAGAGTGAGACCTGCCTTCCTTCCAGCTAGTTTCTGTGCAGCCTTTAGAAATGAATGGCTTTGGGGCACCTGGGTGGCTCAGTCGATTAAGCGTCTGACTCTTGATTTCAGCCAAGGTCCTGATCTCAGGGTCGTGAGATTGAGCCCCGCGTGGCCCCGTGCTCAGCGTGTAATCTACTTGAGATTCTCTCTCTCCCTTTGCCTTTCCCCCTGCTCACACGCACATGTGAGCTCCTTCTCTCAAATAAAATCTTTTAAAAAAGAAATTGTTCTTGGTCACAGTGATGAGGCAGCTTGTTCTGTTCTAAGCTTCTCTCTGTGGGGAGAACATCTCAGTTGGGCTTTGGGGTGATGAAAACATCTAAATTTCCCATTGCCACTTGCTCATTGGGGGAGGGATGGAATAGGAACCGGCTGGCCCTTCGTTAGCCCCTTGTCTCCCAGAACATTTATAATTCTGGGAAAAACAAAACCGTGCTTTGAATACTATAAAAGGTCTTAGGAAACAGGTACTAATTAAAAAGTGAACCAGCACATGATTTATGTTTGAACTCCAAAACCCCCAAAAAAGTTGACTTTTTGAGCTTTTGTTTCAGGGAGGAGCAGTGCTCTAAGCTTGGATGTTCTGACGAGCCCTTACTGGGCTCTGCTGCTTGCCGAGCGTCTGTGGGTAACGTTTGTGCTTCGCAAGCATCCTCTGTGTTTGTTGTGTCACTGCGTTCAGGTGAAGGAGAGTGTTAGGTGACAGCTCCCGTGGTCTCATCAGAGAGACTGACAAGGGTTACCGTGTAAAATTGTGCTGAGTGCTTGCTCGGATGCTTCCACTGACGGGAGAAGATGAGGGGCACAATGAAAACACGCCATCTGGGCTGATGTTTGTGTTCACTCCGTAGGTGCAGCTATCTTCTTTGAATTCAAACACTACAAGCCGAAAAAAAGGTTCACCAGCACCAAGTGCTTTGCTTTCATGGAGATGGATGAAATTAAAGCCGGGCCAATTGTAATAGAACTGTAAGTGACGCGCACGCCGGCCTCATACCGGTGTAATGCTGACTCGTTCTCTTAGTGTGGGACTGTAGAGCAGGCCAGTTATCCCAGTATGTTAAACCGTGACTTTTCTACTGTGGTTGCAGATACAAGAAACCCACTGACTTTAAAAGAAAGAAATTGCAGTTACTGACCAAGAAACCACTTTATCTTCATCTACATCAGACTTTGCACAAGGAATGATCCTGACATGAGTCACCCGGAACGTCTGTGAATTCTCCCACACAGTAGCAACCAGCCCAGCTCCGCGTAGCACATCCCCCTCCACCGGGCCGGAGGAGGGCCGCACGGGCGCTGGCAGGCCAGAGCGAGCCCGTGGGATTCACAGCCCAGCACTCCACTGACCTAGACAACTCCTTTGGATACGGGCTTATTGTAGTTTTGAAACATGTTTTTACCTTTATAGTATTTGTGCAATTCATAGTCTCTTTTCTAACTTACCACTGTTCCTGCCCTGCTTCCTGGAACAACACTGCTGTGGGTAGGATCTGCTCGTCTTCAAAAATTAATACAGCAATAAGAATGTGCTAGAGTTTACACATCCATTCACTTTGCTCCAGTATGCTTTTTCGGTTTTTTGAGTTGATGTCAAACTTTGGGCTGATGGGAGTAGGAGAGTATGAAACTGTTCTGAGAGGAGGAATTGGACCGCTTATTCTGCCCAGGGAGGTCAGTCTGGAAAACGATAGGCTGCTCCTCCGAGGTGGCCTAAACTCACCCTGATCTCATAGTTTTCCTGGTTAGAAATCGTGTGCCTTGGCCAGATCAGTATCCCAGATGGGAGGGTTCCCAGGTTGTAGCTGTGATTTTTCCAGATGACCAGATTGTTTTTCTGAAAGAGCGCATTTGTAGTCCGTTGATTAGCTTTTCTTCTACGTCACATTATTATTCTTTCTGATAGTGATTCTAGGGTTAATGATGGAACCATGTCAGAATAATTACAGACTTCTAGATGGCTTTGTAACGTCTTCTAAATCATGTAAGCTAAACTGAGTCAGATGCTAACGAGATGCTGCAGGCTAACTGCTGTTTTTCTGACAACTGATTGTGAACCCTTACAGCCTGCATACCTCTTCTTAGAGTGGTGAGTATGCAAAGTCTGGAGCTACTCTAGTTGTTTTTATATAGGTAGACAGGATTGCCATTTATTTCCTATGTAGATATATTGACTTTCATCCATATGGAAATATGCAGGTCATTAGCTTATTATAATTTGACTATTTACAGTACTTTTGACTTAATGGGCCATAAATAAAACCTTCAGAGGACACCCAAGGCGGCTGTCTGACACACAGGACATGAACATTGGGGGCGGGCTCTCTGTGGGTTAGATACAGACCCACACGTTTAACATTCACTATGTTGAATGACCAATTCTAGCACGAGGGGAACGCAGCGCCAGTACTTGGCCTGTTTTTAAACTAGTGTAATAACCCGAGTCCTACAGTTCAGTGTGTGCTTTTTAAAACAGCCACAGTGAAGTGTTCTAGCCCTCGCACTTCAAGAAAGCTGGTCTTTACTTCCGGTTATCTGTCGGTTCTGTTTAAGATGTTAAAAACTTGGAGCCTGAAAGAATTCTCAACCAAATTTAAGTCTTGTCTCTTGTATTAATTAGATTAATTCCAAAAATGATTCAGTCCACAATAGCTCAAGGGGATGAAGAATTTGCCTTAATAAATTACCTTGTTGTTCACTCAACCCTTAAACTTAGTTGTCAGCTCCTCAAGGGGGCAAGAACCACATTTTCTCCAAGTCCTGTATATGTGCTAAGGTGCTTGGCAACGCTCTGTACCCTGTGGAGTACTCAGTACCTCCTGTGTGATGTTGCTGACGAGACCTAAAAAATAATCCCTTAAAGTACCTACTATTAAAATGTAGCAAAACTCATCTGTTGGTCTTTCTCTTTTCTCATAGAGCGTAAGACATGTATGTCAGGGATAACTTATATGAAGAAGCACCAGCTGTCATTCACAGAAGTATGGTTTGTATGAACTGCAGAGCCTTTCCGCAGTATTAAAGAAGCTTGAATGGAATGCTGTGTCATTAGCGTAGCTCTAATTCAGACCTGAGTGGGGTGACAAGTGATCATCTGGAAGCAGTAAACACAGAACACTGTACTTCCCACAAATTATTTTTTACTGTCCAATGAAAAAAAAAAGGCAGCTACTGGATAAGAACCATAGTAGAAATGCTCTCAGGCTAAAACGCTGCCACTTCATCAATGAGATGATTTTAGCAACTAAGCCCAGACACACGAGGAGCTGTAGAAGCCCCGTGAAGCAGCTGGGACAGGGAGGCCGCCTGGGCTCTGCTGCGGCCACAGGGCCCTGGGAGGCGTAGAGAGGTGGTGTCCACAGCTCAAGGGAGCTGCACCAGACCTGCTCTGCACCTTACGGACTCCTGGAAACAGGAGATACAGGACAAACACCAAAACTGTGTAGAGGTAAAAAAGGACTGACTTTGGCATTAAAATAGGTCTGATTTACCTTTGCAACTTATCTTTGCTAGCAGGTGTCGTCTATTTCATTACTATCTAACGTTAGCAATTATATTAACCTCATTATTTTGTGTCTTGAAGAGACTGACCTTACTCAGGAGTTGGATTTGTGGTTTCAGTCTTACTTTATTTACATGGTAAAAATAACCTCTGCTATTAACTGTGGAGGTGTTCCTCTCTCGTCTCCTCTATTCTTAATTAAATGGGAAGACACCTGTGAATTATCTTCCTGAAGAACTACTCATGAATTTTAAAGAGTTGTCGTCTTCTTTCAGTGGTCCCTATCTTTTCAAAGTGTTATCGTCTGGTAGTTTAGTGTTAAAAAAAAAAAAAGTTTCACAGTGAAGCTTTTGCTTCTTTTTATTTTATAGGGCATTCGTTAGTCCTTTAAGTATTAGAACGGTGACGGGTCATGGTCTAGGTTTCAATAGTATCATGACAGAGAACTTCAGAGAAGGGGAAAGTGTAGTCTAAGTAGTGAATACTACCAGCCTTTCATAACTTAATCTAAATCCTAAAGATTGTTTAAAAAGCAAGATGTAGTAATAGGTATAGTAATACTTTAAATATGATGTAATCCCAGATTCCCATATTTACTGGTTTTTAAATCTAAGTGCCAATATTCAAATACTAATTTTGGAGTAGCAGTAATCAACAAAAAGAACCGTGGGCAGCCTACAAACCTTAGAGTCCTAAATCATTCTTTCTCATAGTATTGCACTCTTCTGAACTTTTTTGCCGTTTTCCTTGAAAACCAGAGGCAAGGTATGGGAGAAATAGGCTGTACTTTTTGAAAAGGAAATTTCCTTTTTATGGTCACAACGTATCATTTCTAGTTTTCTGTAATGTACCCTTAACGTGAAGATGGTTGCAACAGAACCTCGGGTCAAACAGCTCTTGCTACGACGGTGAGCTCATACTCAGAGACCATCGTCAGGTAGGCAGTGAGTCACCTGAAAGCGGGTGACTGCTGCACTGAGGGGCCTGCTGACTTCTCTAAAGGACAAGGAAGACATACGGTTGTGGTGTTTCCAGGGGACTTCAGATTGCATCTCCCGAGCACTGAGCAACAGGGAGCGTGCTGCCAGTCACCGTGGGCAGCTCTGCAAGCCCCAGTTTACGCGGTTCCGAACGGTACGCAGTTTCATGAGAAAACAGTCCAATGAGGCAACAGACGCTTGTAATAACCAAATTTTTATGAACTATTACTACAAAGAAGGGAGACAAAGTGATCTTTTAGTAAACGTTTTTAGCGTAACAGTCTTTGCGACCAGTATTTTAAAAAACCAAGCTAATAAACACCATTGCTCTGTGTTCAACTGGTATACACTAAAAATAGGGTAATAAATGGAAATACATGTTCTTCTAGCATTTCCACAGGAAATGTTCATATTTCTATGACATTCTAAATCATTTAGCAGTTACATACGCTATATTAACTAAAACACAGGTATTCCTTATTGCACATTTCAAAGTTGTAAGGAGATTCTAGCTTATGAGGTGGTTTTTATTTAGGGGGGAAATTATATTTTTCAATTGTTTGGCTCAAAAATGCATACTGCCAGGGCAGCTTAATTCTAAAAACAAACCTTTTAAAATAAACTTTTGGATTCTGAAGCCAATGAAATCCTTTACTCTAACAAATGGTTCACAGTTCACTTTCTCAGACTAAATGTCAGACGTCAGAGTTACGGGCTCTGTTTTAAAGCCTGTGAACAGTCCTGGCTACTGCTCTGAGAGGCAGGTGGGGGCTCATCTCTAGAGCCAGAAGGTGGTAAGTCTCTTGCAGCAGGTGGAGGTGGATAATCCTGGGGCCCATGAGTAGGGGGCGGTAGTCGAGGACCAGGAATAAAGTACTCTCTTGGACCAAGAGAGCCTAAAGGTCTAAAAGGTGTGTGTCCCGGTAAAAATCCTCGAGGATCAAGAGGCATGTCCCGTCTTCCAGGAGGAATGCCTGGTGCGTATTCTCTTAAGCCCAGTGGTGGACGTAAAGGAGGACCTGGAAAAATAAAAAGTCCTGTAAATACATATGAACACATGTAAACACAGAAGACTGTGGGCATGATAGTCTATAATTTCTCACAACTTCAGAAGTCAGGTGGTGGCATCCCTGACTTCAGAGACGAGGCAGACAGGTAAGTTGTATGCCCGTGGCTGGCCGGCCAGGAAGCCACACAGGCAGCATTTAAACATGGCTCTAGCTGGCTTGTGTTTTCTCTATTACAGAGTTCTGCCATTTTTCTCTCACAAGGGCTTGGTTTAACACTTCAAAGCACCCTAGCTTGTCGTAGCAAGACGACAGATTACGAAACAAGGACTTCACTGTAACAAAGATATTTGATAAAGGGAAACTCCAGTGTCTGCCGCTGTGTCAATTCATGCAGTAGCTCCCCATGGACTTAAACGTGCCGTCCAAATCCAGGTGGTCGCCTACTGGGGAAAGGCCTTCTAGCTCCCCCTAATCAAATTCAGCAACATTTATTAGGCATTAAACTCAACCTTCTCTAGAGCTAACACTTCCTCTCATTTACTACCAAGGCAGGAAGTTTAAGTTGAACTGTCCCTCTTCTATACTCGATGATCCATTGTTCATGCTTTCATCACAGTGATTACAAGCTTTACGTTTCATAATCTATATATCGACGTTCTAGAGGACTTTGTAAGCTCTTGAGTTGGGAGAATTAGTTCTAGCCATCAGCAGACATAATATTTCCAGCTTTCTATTAATATCTCTGGTCTACATGAGATCTACTGCCCATCTCTGTACAGGGGGATTATGCAGCACCCTGTGTCCTAAAAATTGGAGGGAAAGTTAAGATGCACTGGCTTATCTTACACTTTCATTACCTAGGCCTGTAAAAGCCACTATTAAAATTTCAACAAGAAGAGAGAGAAAAGATGAATTATACTCTATAAGTCAATTACTACTATTCAATCATCATACCGAATGGTGGAGGAACTGGCCGAGGTCCGAAAGGCCCACAGAGTTGAGGAGGTGGTCCATATCGAATGGGTGGTGGCAGAGGGCCTCCCATGGGGGAGCTCATAAGGGGCACCCCTGGGAAAGGAGAGGGCCCTTTTGCAGCCACAGTCACCTGCAGAGCAGAAGCAATTACAGTTGTAAAAGACTCTGGTATGACACAAGCACCAATACCAGTAAAAGCTGAACCCCCGGGGTGCCTGGGTGGCTCAGTGGGTTAAGCCTCTGCCTTCGGCTCAGGTCATGATCTCAGGGTCCTGGAATTGAGCCCCCCACATCGGGCTCTCTGCTCAGCAGGGGGCCTGCTTCCTCCTCCCCCTCTGCCTGCCTCTCTGCCTACTTGTGATCTGTCAAATAAAATCTTAAAAAAAAAAAAAAAAAAGCTGAAACCCAATGAAGCAGATGTCCAGCATCTGTCCAAAAAACAGAACCAGTGCAACAAAACTTGACACCCCCGCCCAGGGGCGCCTGAGTGGCTCAGTTGGTTGAGCAACTGCCTTTGGCTCGCATCATGGTCCTGGAGTCCTGGGATCAAGTTCCGCATCGGGCTCCCGGCTCTGCGGGGAGTCTGCTTCTCCCTCTGACCTTCTCACCTCTCATGCTCTCTCTCACTGTCTCTCTCTCAAATAAATAAATAAAAATCTAAAAAAAAAAAAAAACTTGGCCCCTCCTGTCTGTTCCTGCCAGCAGCTTAGGCAGGTTCACGGGACGGCACCAAAGCCAAAACGTTCGCTGGAGTTGCACTACTGCTAGAATATGCAAGGGGAAGAGAAAGCAAGAGGATGGCTGAAGGACACTAACAGAGGTGACTCCCACAAACACCATGATCGACTCCCAGGGCGACACCTTCACCCCCATGTCCTTCCCATTGCCACAACAGCGCATCATTTCCATACTGAGCATGGACAGAACAAAGATCCACTCTCTACACATGTCACTAGAGCCACTATTCAGAGTGCCTTCAATCTCCTTTCACATATTCTCTCTCATCCTCCGATCTCTCGACCTCTGAGCAGAAAGATTTCCTGTTTTAAATGAGGGCGCAGAGTATCAGAAGATTTGCTGACGGTCACACGGCATGTAAGAAGCTGTTGCAATTCAGGATCAGGTCTGCCTCCAAGCCTGTCCTCCTTGTGCCTGCGCTTCCCTCACTAACAAAAGGGGCTCTGCTCTCAAGTCCACTCCCAAAGGGCCTCAGTTGGATAAAACGACCTCAAGAGATCCGTGTCCCTGGAGTCCTGCACTGAAACGTGGAGGCATTTTCCAACAGAAACGATGTTCTATATACAAGGAGGCAAGCACAGCACCATTATTTACCTTCGTGCACCAGTAACGCTGTGCTTTATAGTAAGAGACACTGACCTTTCCCACGGGAAACTGGGTTGGAAATTCTAAATCGTCAGATCACACACTCTGATTTCAGCACACAGAAGCACTGTGAGCCATGCTGGGAGCACCAGCGCAGCTCTCACAGAGAATACACTTCTGTGCATGGTCCTGAAGGCTACTGCTGACAACGGACACAACAGCAATGACAGGTTTTCACGGGTCATTATTTCACTTCCGGCAAGCATTCTTCCTTTACCAATCTGTAAGTTCAGGTCATTCAAAGCAGGGTCTGCCCAGTATACAACTGGAGATATTCAGCACACTTGCAAACACATAAACAGGGAATTAGGCTATATATAATTAATTTACTCTGCCTCAGAACACTGGACGCCAAAGCACACACAGCACACAGTTGCAGTGATGACTTTCTGCTGCCTTTAGTTACAACAGATATTCCCTACTGGTTAACAGCCTGACCCAAATGGGGGAAAAACCCCGACCAGTCAGATTTCAGCAATCCAGCAACACTTCCAAGTCAAGAACAAGAGTAGGATCAATACTGCCGTGCAATTCAAAGCAAAGCAGATTAGTGTCATGCTCGTCATATCCTTTCCAGAAATATACCAAGTAACAGCTCAGCTCAGTCCTCAACCTCCAAGTACTTACTACTACTGACTGCTCAGCCACAGACGTACTGCTGGGAACTGAAGGGCCTTCAGGGTCTTGGGGAACAGTTTGCTTTTTAAAAAAATGAGATAGTACAGCTATAACAGACACACAAACAAGAGATGGATGACGCAAAGAGAGGGTGTTGTAATGAAGTTTAAGGTTTCCTGAAATACCTAATTACAATTCAGAGCAACTGTGGAACTTACCTTGCCTTCATCCATCATCTTAGTAGGGGAAGAGCCTCTCGAGCTGCTGTTCATCATGGGAGCTACACCAGATCCTGGATCTGCCGAAGGCCAGAGAACAGATTTGGACTTATCCTGACGTATATACTCTTTGAGGAAGAACTAAGAGATCCTCTGCCCACTTCCTCCATGGTTTTAGACCCAAACACACTCAGATCCCTTACCAGAGGCAGAGGGTTTCCCAGATGCCTCAGATGACCATCGAGGACGAGGTAGAGGTCCATCCATTGACCCTTAAGATAGAAAGAACAGAACCCTTGCATGGATTTTTCAGAAGAAACAAACCAATTGTGGACAGGTCAGGGTTCAACTCTACCTAGTAAGCAACATTAAAAATGGCTCTCCTAATACATAAGGGGAAATCCCAAGTTAGGCACAAAGCTTAAGAATTAAAACAAGAAGGGTGCCTGGGTGGCTCCGTTGGTTAAGCCTCTGCCTTCAGCGCAGGTCATGATCCTGGAATCGAGTCCCACATCAAGTTCCCTGCTCAGCTAGAGTCTGCTTCTCCCTCTCCCTCTGCTGCTCCCCCTGCCTGTGCTCTCTCTTTCTAAATGTCAAATAAATAAATAAAATCTTTAAAAAAAAAAATTAAAATAAGAACTGTTGGATTCAAAGATCAGCAACAAAACCTGCATGTTAATGGCACCAGCTGGTGCTTCGAGTGACAGGCCTGATGCAGTTGTACAGGCTGATGTTTTCAGTCTGTATGATCTGACTTCCATACCTCAACAAGTATTACAGACATGTCTGATTGGAAACAGACTCACAGCACTGTGTGTTAATGAGAAATGAGCGTCTGCTCCAGTAATTATATAGTCTTGAAGCTACTTTAATAATATCTGAGAGGAACGCCATAATTTTTACTTCACAGTAAAAAAGTAAAAAGCAAACGTAACAATTATATATTCTTACTTACAAATGCATTTTATGTATTTATTTTATAATACTTAATATATGTTACAGTAATATTAGTAACAATGCTTTCTGTTCTAAAGCAGATCTTGCAGCAGACTACACACCAAAACAAACTAAGACATTTTCTTCCCTATACTGGACAGACCCAAATTCTAAAAACATTGTTTGCATTGGAATTCTCAAGACAAACCATAAGAGACTCTTGACAGGAAACAAACTGAGGGTTGCTGGGGGGAAGCGGGGTTGGGGAATGGGTAAGTGGGTGATGGGCATTAAGGAGGACACATGATGGAACGAGCACTGGGTGTTATATAAGACTGATGAATCACTTAACTCTACCTCTGAAATCAATAATACATTATATGTTAATTAACTAAATTTAAATTTAAAAAAAATCTTAAATAAAAGGGGGAGTAATCCTCTAGAAACAGTTTACTACAAGGTAAAATGTGAATGCTCACCAAATTCACCTCTCGGCATCTCTCTTCGATTAAGCGTAGCGGACAGAGGCCTCGCCGGCGGGTCAGCCATCGGTGGAGGGGAGCACTCCCCCCCCACTCACAGGAGATGGACCGAAAGAGCCATTCTGGCTTAGAGGACCTGAAGACGACAGTGAACTGTTAGCACCCTGCGGCAACCTTTCTTCCCTTTAGTAAGTTCATCAGAATGAAGATACACAGAACCAGAATGTAATGCACACACACTCCGCACACAGCCTTGGGCGCTGCCCCCAAAAGTGCAGCCCACCTCTCCATGGAGGGTTCTGGGTGTTGGGCCTGCCTGGCCTCGGCTTCACAATCACAGGCTCTTCTTGCAGCGCTGCCATCTTCTGGGATAATTCCAGTAACCTTGAATACAGAGAAAAGACAACCTCCATTCCTTACGAGATACCAAGCAGCACTGCCTCTGGAAACCCGAGAACGCGCCGAGAAACCGGAATTCCACATCACGTACTTGTGTCTCAAGTTGGCGGCTTCCCTTTTCTCCTCAGTGATAGCTCTTTCTGCAGCACGAGCTTTGAGCTACGGGAGACAAACAGATCCTAATCAGTGCTGGCACGCCACACACGAAATAAAGGAAAGGAAAAAAAGTCTTACCCAGTTATCATGAGCTTTCTTCTCATGAGTAGCAATCTGAAAGACAACACATGGACGACTGCATGTGGGGACTCGGCGTCGCAGCCACTGCCAGCGTCTGTCTCAGACACCGAAGAACCCGCAGCCGCAGGGGAGGAGAATTACCTGGGTTTTGAATGAGCGCTCTGTCTTCAGCAGTTCCTCCTCCATCTCTTCAATTCTGCGCCTAAGAATCACAGTTGCTTTTATCAATTAAAGTGCAACTAAAGAAAATTTGAAACCGTCTCACCACTTGCCCCTTCCTGCGACACCCGCGCTCCCTCGCAGAAATACTCACATGGTCACAATCAGAGAGTAACACAATCAAAACTAAGACGACCTAATTTCCTTATTATTTAATGGCAGGAGAGCCTGAGTTGATACACTGTAATTTTCTGGACTGTTCTTCAACACTCTCGAGCAATCCTGCTAGGACAATCTTCCTCCACAAAGCTTTTTCTTCTTTTAATGACGGCCACAGAAACTTGCCCAGAGCTGTGACTACAGCTCTGTGGCACAACGGCTGTAATGATTCCGGATACAACACTACAGCAAGCGGGCTTCCTGAAAGAATTCCTCCAACACACAGAACCGCCCAGCACGAACCAAGCTCCCTGACGGTCTTGCCCGCACTGGGTGGGTATATACGGCAATGGCTGTTAACGTGACACTGTTCCCTTCGTTAACTTAAAATGCATTTTTTCTCATGGGAATGAACTATTCACATCCTGTGACTACTTATGTATGTTCTCTGCGGTTTTGTTCTACACAATGTAACACGGTTTTAAAAGATGCCAACAGCCGCCCCCGGCACGGACCCCACGCTCGAAGCTGAACTCACTTGTAAGTTTTCACTTCTTCCGCAGCCAGAAGCGCCTTCTCGTCAGCAGCTGACAGCCGCTGCTCTCTCTCCTGCCGCTCATACTCTTCCTGACTCAGTTTCCTAAGACAAAATTGGCTGTCAGACGGGTTTCTGTCTTCCCAGCAGTCTGCCCGAATGCCTCTACTCAAACATCACCTCCCCTCCCCTCCCCTCTAAAATGCACAGACATACAGAGTCACGGAAGAATTCAAACTTGCCACTCCAAGATAAAAATCCATCTCTGGCCTGTCAGCAAAGCACCTGCGTTTTTTAACTTCTTGTAATTCTTGACACACTAGAAACTAGTTTAGCAAATGTCACTCTATGTCCACCAACTAGTTCCTTGTGCTTAACACAGTGAAAGGACATTTTACTTGACTGTGTAAGGCCATGGCTGATCGACTTCACACCATTAAGCTTCTCAGGCCTAAGCAAGGGGTAACTACTTCTCTTATTTCTACCAGAGGAAAACCTGTAATTACTTCCCTTGTTCTACCATGGAAGGACTGCCTCTCAATCCAAGATGGGTACTGCAATAAAATAGCCAGAGAAAGAAAGAGCCTTCTAAAAGAGTCTTCTAGCTTCTAAACCGTGTAGTTAACCAACCACAGAACATTCCTGTACTTCAGATATGGGACTCCTACTACCTATTTCAGTGGCATGATGATTCAAGAAAGAAAAATCTCAGAATTATAAATGTCTAGTGAATAAAACAGAAAAAGGGGCACCTGGGTGGCTCAGTGGGTTGAGCCTCTGGCCTTGGGCTCTGGTCATGATCTCAGGGTCCTGGGATCGAGCCCCACATTGGGCTCTCTGCTCAGCAGGGAGCCTGCTTCCCCCTCTCTCTCTGCCTGCCTCTCTGCCTACTTGTTATCTTTCTGTCAAATAAATAAAAATCTTCAAAATAAAACAGAAAAAGAATCCCAGCTATTCCATAATCAGGGTCTTACCTACTGGAAACTGGTTTTGACCCAATTAACCTTCAACCTCCAGATGCCCATCTAAAATAAATCGATTGCAATGGGAACGTTTATGGGTTGAAAAATGCTATTTTGTTACCCTTGTACATCTTTGGCTACAAGTCTAATTCAGAAGACCCTTAACTTGAAATTTAAATTTCTATGAATCAGAAGCAAAATGAGAAGAGCTATATGGTTAAAAGGTTTAACAAGGAAAAAAAAGTTTATGTATTCTTTTATAACTGCCCATTCAATTCTCAGCAAAGTATTTTATGAATGGCTACACTATAATGGCTACCTCCTGAGATGCTAAGATAAAAGTACTGGCAAAGTACTATCCCTGCACTAACAGAGCTCATAGTTGAATATGTGAAAGATACACATAAGAACAGAAAAATCCCTGACTCTGGCTTAGGAAGAAAGGTGAGAAATGGGGGGTCTTGAAGAAAAGATCAATCAGAATTTTTTTTCCCGGTAATGAATAAGCTGGTCTGAGAATACTGAGAACAATTAGAACATCGGACAAAAATAAAAAGACTCTGCCTGAAGACATCAGAGACTTAATATATTAGTTGACAAGTTAATATATGAGGCCAAGCTCCAGGGGAAAAAGAAATCTCAGAATTACAAGAAAGCCTGGCATCTGAAGCCACCTTTCTCCCAGGTTCATTCTATGCACTGAAGACCATGGAGACATAAGGAGATTGAGAAGAACTTTCACCAGATCCGGGTTCAAAGAAAAATGGAGTTCAAGGTCGCCAATGAAGGGGACCTCCAATCAAAATCCGAGGCTTTGGGTTTGGACTAGAAAGAGTTGTGCAAACAAGGCAACACAGTGTCCTCTGAAGGGACAAGGCCAATTTTAAATGACATAAATTGCCGACTGGATTAAAGTAACAATCTCATGCTACAAATAAACTCAAATCTTTTCCGTAGGAAAATAAAATCATCCTAGACCTCTAGTTTTCTCTACGGTTACTATAGACAATTTCTGCCACTCAGTCAAAACTGACCAGGCACTCCACAAAACACTGAGATCAAATCTAAAAACCAAGAGGGATGGACCCATAGCTGAATCTTTATAGACTTTAAAATAATTATGCTTATATAATCAAAGAAGTAAAAGTCAAAATTATAAATTTCAGCAGAATCTGTAAAATTGAACCATAGTAACTGAAATTAAGAATTATTAATAGGGGGTGCCTGGGTGGCTCGGTGGGTTAAAGCCTCTGCCTTTGGCTCAGGTCATGATCCCAGGGTCCTGGGATCGAGTCCTGCGTCGGGTTCTCTGCTCCGCAGGGAGCCTGCTTTCTCCTCTCTCTCTGCCTGCTTCTCTGCCTGTTGTGATCTCTGTCTGTCAAATAAATAAGACCTTAAAAAAAAAAAAAAAATTATCAATAGGGGCTCCTGGGTGGCTCAGTTGGTTAAGTGCCTGACTCTTGATTTCGGCTCAGGTCATGATCTCAGGCTCATAGTGTCGAGTCCCACATCAGGTGCCTCACTCAGAGAGGACTCTGCTTTAGATTTTCTACCCTCCCTCACCCCCTCTGCCCCTGTGCATGAGTACATGTGTGTGCATGCTCTCAAACAAATAGATTTTTATTAAAAAGCCCTCAATGAATGATTTTAGCAGCTGACTTGACAAAGTGAAGTGAGACCTTTAGCACATGAGACAGGTCAGAAAAAACGTCATTCAGAATGCAGCAAATCAGGTAAGAATGTAGGAGACACAGGGGAAATATAAAAAAAATTTAAATAGAATCTTACAAGAAGAGAGATTAAAGCAGAATCAATATACAAAGCAAGGTCCCCAAAACCAAGAGGTGCCAATGACCCCAAGCAGCATAAATACAAACAAGATGGGAAGAGGGCGGAGAAACAAAAAAATGCACACACACACCCTCACACCTGAACACCTCCCACTAACACTACTGAAGAACCAGAAAGGATGACTGAAGGCTCCAAGGGCAGTGGTGAGACACTGAGGAGGGAAAAGACAATGGATACTGGACTCCTCAAAGGAACTACAAAACCAGAAAGTAACTGGTTACTTTCAAAGTAATGAAATTAAGTAACTGCGAGCATCTCAGAGCCAGCAGAACAATCCTTAGAAAGATGTTATCACAAGATAAACTGATCATATCTGTCACTAAAGGGTGGCCTTCGAGGAGACTGAAAGAGACCCGCAGTGAAAAACTACAGACGTGGGCGAGGAGGAAGAGCTACAGGAACTATGCAAGTGTGTGTCAGCAGAATGAACGCCGGCCGGACCGCAATGCAGTACGACACTGAAACGTCTCTGGAGTTTAGGTGTAGAGGAAATGACGATGTCATTCGAATAGCATCTACTTCAGATGGGAGCTAAAGCCCAGAAAGAGGCACACTTATTCATGTCTATCACACTGTAACAAGTTCAGGACCCATGTTATGGTCTTTAGGGTAAGTATAGGAGGAGAGAAAGAGCAACCTCTAACTACCAAGCCTTAAAGAGCACAAAAGCAGAATTATGAAAAATACTCCAACAATCCAAAAGACAGAAAGAAGGAAGAAACAGGAACACAGAACAGACCATCAAACAGAAAGCAAACAATAACAGGTAGATTTATTTTATTTTACTTTTATTTATTTTTTTTATTTTTAAGTAATCTGTACACCCAACATGTGGCCTGAACTCACAACCCTGAGATCAAGAGTCACATGCTCTACCAAGTGAGCCAGCTTGGTGTCCCAGTCACACATAGATTTAAACCTCTGTGTGTGTGTGTGTGCGTGTGTGTGTGTGTGTGTGTGTGTGTGTGTTGAGGAGTTACATAGAAAAAATGTGCACTCACCCAGTCTCTATAGCTACATACCTATTTATGCCACAACAGACTCCAGAAAAGATTTTAAGAAACATAAATGTTTCAATGGGCAGAGATTGCCAGGTGGAGAAACTGTAAAAGGGTATTTTTCTGCAGAGAAAGCAGCATACGTAGTGACAATGAGGCTCAGAGTGGCATAAGGAACTGTGCTCAGTATGGCTGCAGGTCGGAAAGCATCAGAAGTTGCTGCAGGAAATGCACCTGGAGAAGCAGCTCCAGACAACTGAGGAAGTGTCCTGTGTGCCTGCGCGAGAGTCAGGAACTGATCCAGAAGAGAATGGAGCACTCCTGACAGATTTTAAGCACTGGAGGCCATGCAGGGACCTGCATTTTAAGCGAGTTCACTCGAGACTGAGAATGAATAAGAGCCTGGAAGGGGGATATGAGAAAGGGCAGGTGATGAGAGGTCCCGTCAGGGACTGGCAGGAAAGAGGATGTGGACCTGAACTAACCCAGGCTCTGGGGATAGAGAGCACGGTACAAACCAGATATGCTGGACAGACCAAAGAAACCAGTGCCACAATGATTATCATGAAGAAAAACAACCGTCATTTAGGAAATTAAGAGTATTTCTGGTGGCAAAGAAATACTCTTTAAAAAAAAAAAAAGGTAATGATATTAGGAATATTTCTCTGAAAAAAGGCCAGGTATTTAGAGCTGGCCTGAACAAAATCTAGAAAATCTAAACTGACTGCACGGTGAGCAAAGAATCCGAGAAGACATCAGTGGTCTGCTTTCGATGTTTCATGGCACCAGGCAATAGCAGCCTGAGCATTTAAAAAAGAGAAACTTTGGGCGCCTGGGTGGCTCAGTGGGTTAAGCCGCTGCCTTCGGCTCAGGTCATGATCTCGGGGTCCTGGGATCGAGTCCCGCATTGGGCTCTCTGCTCGGCAGGGAGCCTGCTTCCCTCTCTCTCTCTCTCTCTCTGCCTGCTTCTCTGCCTGCTTGTGATCTCTCTCTGTCAAATAAATAAATAAAATCTTAAAAAAAAATAAATAAATGAATAATTTAAAAAAATAAAAAAGAGAAACTTTGCTCAGCAGAATAAGCCTTCTCAGAGGCCGCCATGTATCTATTTTTAGAGAATTCTGGTAATTTTGTGGAGGAAAAAAACTTAAAATGAACTCCAAAAGTCTATCTTTCAAGAAACACACGTAACTCCAGATTTGAGATGGAGATTTCAAGATATTAATAGCTAAATATACACACGGAACAGGTACGTCTACATTTAAAACTCCAAACACCCTCACCACAATTACAGTATGTAACGTTTAACCTGAGCATTTGACTAAACTCCAAAACTTAGGATACCTTCAAATAACTAAATTTTTGGAGTGTTTATTCTACTAAACATCGTGTCCTACAAATCACTCAGGATTCTCAAAGGCTGTATTAAGAAGTAGTAGAATAGGGGTGCCTGGGCGGCTCAGCTGGTTAAGCGACTGCCTTCAGCTCAGGTCACAATCCCGGAATCCCGGGACAGAGTCCCGCACATCAAGCTCCCTATTTGGTGGGGAGTCTGCTTCTCCCTCTGACCCTACACCCCCATGCTTGCTCTTTCTCCCTCTCTCTCAAATAAATAAAATCATTTAAAAAAAAAAAGAGAGCAATAGAACAGACACAGGACAAATCACACTTACTTAAAATGCCACAAAGAAAGTAAAGTACATGGCAGGGCGCGAGAGGGACTGGGTCTTTACAAAGCACATGCCACAGCAGGACCGCTTTACCAGTAAAGCACTCCCTGTCAAACAACCTGCAGTCCGGTGACGCACACATTCACTTGCACGGCGAGGCCGCGAACGACCGGGCATGGTTATCTTACTTCTGCAGCGCCGTCTCCTTCTGCTGGTACAGCTCATTCAGAATCTCTACTTTCTGCCTCAGGGTTTGGCATTCATCCTCCAGGACGGCTTTGGCTGACTGCAGTGAATGGCGGTCATCTTCTAATTTCTTTATTTGGTCTGGAGAGAGAAAATGGTTAAGCTGGGTGTGTGCACAGGGCTCACAAACTGGTGGGGCAGGGGGGCTGGAAGGAGTTAGAAACTCAGCACGTTCTTCTCAGAAGCAGCCTACCTTCCAGGTTACATTTAGTAGACATCGAGGCTCTAAGCTTAACTTGTAGAAGTTTTAGATCCTCTTCAACTACTGAAATTGCAGTTTGTGTCTAAAAATTCCAACAGAGAGAACTATCCTTAGAAGGGAGGCACAGTGAGGATTCACAGGCACTTACAGTACTCCACAGAAAAGCTCATACCCGAGAAATGTCCATCATCTGCTTAATTTGATTTTTCACTTTCTCACTCTGGTCACCTAAAATACAAAAAGCTTTAATTGCCTTTTCCTCCTTTGCTTTTTAACTGTATTTTCTTGATTTCTCCAAAAATAAACAATTATAATTATGTTCAAATATTCAAAGGAAAAACAAATCTACCAAGAGAACTAATTAGGCTCCATGACTTTTAAGAAAATTGCAAATTCAAAAAGCGAATTCCCAGTTTGTCCAGCTAAGTGTTATCTGTGCCATTCTCAAACAAGAAGGGATGTGTGAACTAAAGCTCTTTCTTCTCGTTCAGATCTGTGTCCACCTGGTCATGTGTCTTATTTAGACAGACTTCCTCTTCCATTCTCCCCTTGAATCTGCTACCAGGCATGGTTGAAAATGCCCACTGTGAAAGCAATATACGATTTGAAAAACATGTCCAGAAACATGTCCTTCATCAGTAAACACTGCTACCCTTCAGCTCCACTCTCACGGCCTTAATTAGTTTATGGCTCCCCCGACTTCATTACTCTTGAAATCGGTTGTGGGCCTTAAAACTGTAGAGCTACAGAGATGATGAGCCCTAAATTCAAAGGTCATCCCCACAGCAATGAGACATAAATTTCTCCTACTGAACAGTGTTCACACTTACAGGTCTAAGTCACAGCTCTGCTGCTCTCACTCTAGTGCAAACAGTCCTCAGTGGTATGGAAAAGCAGAGTCTATGTTCATTGCACACCCACTGCTATACCACAGCCCTGCAACCCACCTCTGCCCAGTGCACAAAGAGGTGTTTCTAAGCCCAGTGATAGGCATCTACAACCCTTAATGCTTAAGTTAATCAGGGGACAGCTGGGTGGCTCAGTCGGTTAAGTGGCTGCCTTCGGCTTAGGTCACGATCCCAGTGTCCTGGGATGGAGTCCCAAATCGGGGTCATTGCTTGGCAGGGAGCCTGCTTCTCCCTCTGTCTGACAATCTGGCTGCCTGTGCTCCCTCTCTCTGAGACAGATAAATAAATAAATAAATATATAATCAATCTTAAAAAAAAAAAAAAAGAAGAAGAAGTTAGGGGCGCCTGGGTAGCTCAGTCAGTTAAGCATCTGACTCTTGATTTCAGTTCACATCATGATCTTGGGGTTCTGAGATCAAGCTCTGCATTGGACTCCTTGCTCAGTGGGGAGCCTGCTTGAGATTCCCTCTCCCCTGACCCCTGCTCTTTCTAAAATAAATAAATCGTTTAAAAAAAAAAAAAAAGAGGAAGTTAGTCAGCCAAAAGGAGCATTAGTGTACTTAAAGACAGGAACACAAAAAGTGGTCCAACCTCCCTGAAACCAAACTTACCTCCCACTTCTCCATTTGCTAATTCATCTAACTCACTTCCTCCTTTATTCTGACCCGCAGACTCAGATTCACAATCTAACAGATTCAACTGGGTAATGCAGTTAGTCAAAGCCTAGAAAAGAAGCAAAGGGACATTAGAAAGAGCTTCTCAAATAGATTTCATGAGGATTAAGCATGTAGTCAAGAGAATAAACTTACATTAATATTATCATCTTTGTGAGTAAGAGCTACTTCCAAATTTTTCTGAGATTTCTCAAATGCTTTGATTTGGTCACTGAGCTCAGCATGTGATTTGCTCCAGTCTTTGATTTCTTGCTGCAACTGAAAAGTTAAAACACATGAATTTCCAAAGGCTAGGGCTCTTGCACTGGACACATCAGGAATATATGAATGAGACAGGGAAGCAGGGAGCCATGCTATTCTTTGGCCTGTCACTATGGACTGAGGCCTTCGTGATGGGAGAGGGGAGAGTGGCTCCTACCCTCATGTGCAGTAAGCACATGAGATGAGAGCTGTCGAGGAAGTCAACCCAGTTACTGCAGAAAACTGCAGCCCATTCAAATAATTCACTTTCACAGGAACAGAACACATTTCACTATCTCCCATGTCCACACTCCAGATCATGTAACCTTCCTTTTGTCAGTGAAGCAGTAATTGCTCAAAAAAGGGTTAAAATTCATAATTCTTTGGTCAAGAAGCAAATCCATCACCCCACTGAGGCTATTCAAGTTAATAATTGGTTGGTATTTGACAAGACAAAGACTAAAAACACTCTGACAGCTATAAGAAATTATAGATAAGAACAGAAAATCTAGAACAGATGGAGAATATATACATGCACTCAATTTTGGAAGCTTAAACTTTGCATATCTAAGAATAAAATTCTGCATACATATTTCATTTCCTTAAAAACAGATCTGAGAAAAGATACTTAAGGGGTAATGATACTCGGTCCCTTCATCCACATAATCTAGGACATTAACTTTTCTTTACCTGTTCTTTCTTCTTCTTAAGCTTAGCATTTTCCTCTTTAATCCGGTGGCATTCAGACTTCACCTTCTCTTCATTAAGTTTGGCTTCATTAAGCGCAATCTGAACCTAATGCAAAACACTCCTATTAGTGAGTTAATTCCAAAGGAGGGGTATTACACTTTCCCAATTAGACATCATATAGTTTTCATTTATTGCAAATTCTAGCACATATTAAATGTTTGCTCCTCAACAAAACTAAGACACCTTATTAACATCTTGCAGAATTAAAGGCAGCTTTACCTCTGAAAATTCTGAGGCATTCACTGAAATGACATCCTTTAGCCTCTCTATAGATTTCTTGCTTTCCGATATCTGCCATATGGAAGAAGAACACAAAAAATGTATTAGGATTTTAGTATAAACAGTAGGATATGTGCTAAAAAGATGAAATGCTATCCCAGAGCCATCGCCTACATATCAGGTAAAAGCAGGTGATTCAGTGTTAGCTGGGGAGAAAAGTCAAGACTATAAAGAGGTAAGAAAAAAAATAACTGGAGCTCTAACTGCGTGCATCTACGACATTCCTTGCTAACGTGGTAGGTAGATGACCAGACAAAAAGGTGAAAAAAAGCAGGGAGAAAAAAAAAAAAAAAGAAAGGAAAAGAAATGTTCAAGTAGTCCAGTTGAAATCAACTGGCAGAGAAAAAAAAAATCCCCAAGGTCACCTTAAAAATTCTCTTGCCTGAACTAAAAATGGTTGGACTTGAGGACAGACAGACAGACAAATCTCACTTATGGAAGAATTCCAGATAATCTGTCAAGGTACTGCCTCCTTAAGGAGGTGGAGCATACTCTTCACTCTTTTCATCCCAGGCTGGGCATAGGTACTTCCTTCAGAAGTGAACAGTACACCAAGAGTGGGAATGGGTCTACTGAGAGTAGAGAAACCTGGCAAATACCTGGTCAGCCAGGTCACAAGCTCAGCTGGGTGTGCAACATATGCGAACTCTCTGAAACTTCGCTGTAGTTCTTAAACGGTTCTAAAAGGCTTGTTTTTAAAAGGAATCATGCAAAACAAAACAAAGTACTAGAACTGTTCAACAGGGCTACGGTTTCTTAGTTGTGCTACATGTTTCAGATGGCAGAGCCAAGCAATACAGAAATTATCCAGGGCTGAGGACAAAAATATTTCCTAGGACCATGAAAATAACAGCTTGTGGTATTAGCATTTTAGATTCCATGAAGACAGATGGATATAGGTTCAACTTCCCTGTCTCCCAATCCTCCTCTGGTTACACCCTGGGAAAATGCAGAGTTCATTCCACCCTATCTACAAAACAGTTTGAAAGCTAAATTACAGTTAACGATTTGTAATAAAACCCTTACCAAGTCCTGATTCTTGACATTCTGTTCCCTCTCGGATTCTAACATAACACGCAGATTTTTAGCTGTATCATCCAGAATTTCATTAGTTTCTTCAAGTTTCTTGATTGTATCCTATTAAAAGAGACATTAAAATAAATAGTAACTACTCACTATTTTTTTGTTTTTAGAATGTAATCTCAAAGAGAGAAAGGATTTTTACCTTATATTTAATTGCTTCATCAGACAGAATCATATTTTGTTTCTTAGTCTCTTGAACATGTTTCTTTGACTCCTTAATCTATTTAAAATAAAGCACACAGAATTCAGAACTATAAATCACAGGGGTATCAAAACTTATCTGAGTAGGTAACCCCTTAGAGAAGAAAGATGTACTTTACACATACGATGATTACTTCAGATCTGGATGGCTCATAGGAAATAATGAAATTTTAAAATACCATAATAACTGCACCATAACAGAGGAGGAAATAATTCAAGCTGGAATCATGAGGGGAAAATATTGAAAGAGTAATTATACCTTCTGTTCGTAATTTGACAACTTTTGTACAAGTTCTGCGTTTTCTTTCATGATATTCTTCACCTTTGCAGCAATCTGCTGTTCAGTAACTAAAGGGGAGAGGAAATCCATAAGATTATTATGAGAACTAAGTAAAACTAAATAACCCATTGTATTAGCAGCACATTTACCTAGCACTATGAGGAAAAGAACTTCTTAACATAACTATTACACTTTTGAGAAAGCAACCTGCAGTTCATGGCAAATAAGGGTGTAAAAATACTACTAAAATAAGGAAAACAGGGGCGCCTGGGTGGCTCAGTCAGTTGTGTGTCTGCCTTCTGCTTGGGTCGTGATCCCAGAACCCCCATCAGGTTTCCTGCTCAGAGAGAGAGCCTGCTTCTTCCTCTGTCCTTCCCCCAGCTCATTCTCTCAACCTCTCTCTCTCTCAAATAAATAAAATCTTAAAATAAGTAAATACATAAAAAAAAAGAAAAATATAATAAGGACCCTTCCTTCAGTGAGATTCCAATTTATTTCAAAAATAGGAAATATAATAAAGTATTTTTAGCTTGATATCCTTCCCTTCATGGTGTACCTTTCTTCTCAGAAACTGTGATCATTCAAATATATGTCATTCGCAAAAAGAAAAAGACAAAAAATACAAGCACACTGATTTACATCTCTATTCCTCAAATTATATACTTAAATATTTACTGTATTGATCAAACCATTAGCTCAGGAACACTGTTCATATGCAATAAATCTGTAGTAAGTCAACAAAGCCAATCTGCCCCAAATCAAACTAATCATCTTCCTCCTCCCACAATTTGTTCCACTTCACCTCCTATCTCAGTTGGTAGCATCACTATCTACACTCTGTCATCCAAGCTAGCAACTAGGATTAGTAAAATGTTCAGGAGTGAGTAAGTCAATCAGACATCAGAAGTCACCGTATCTATTTCTAGCGTACATAAAACTCATATCAAACACTAGTACTGAGGGAAGAGTACAAACAACAGAATAAGCTTAAGTATTTACCTTGATATACTCTACTCTTTACCTAGAAGAAAAATAAAATTAAATTAGATGTCAAAATATTTTAATAACAGAAATATTACAGTATTTCAATATTATGAAAATATTATCTACAATAGTCAAATCATAACAAAATGAAAATTTAGTAAACAGTTTGGTTCACTGTAATAATCCACTGAATTAAAAAATAAAAGAAGATTAAAAAGCATTTCAAATGTGGGGCACCTCAGTGCCTCAGTCAGTTAAGCATCTGCCTTCAGCTCAGGTCATGATCCCAGGATTCTGGGATCAAGTACTACACCAGGCTCCTTGCTCAGCAGGGAGTGTGCTTCTTTCACTACCCCATCCCCCGCTCGTGACCTCTCATGCTATCTCTAACAAATAAATAAAATCTTAAAAAATAATAAAAAAATATTTTTTAAAAAAGCATTTCAAATGTAATTGGTAGGGATGCCTCACAATTTCTGGTAGAAGCACTAAAGTGAATACATCATTTTGCAAATAAAGATATGTTTATGTATTAAATGAGCACCAATCTTATTAAGCACTTAATTTTAATAATGGAAATGGATATTTTCATATTAAATATATCAATGCTTCTTTTACCCCAATCATTTATTTGACAACCCCAAATAGTGAGAATGAAGTCCAGAAACAATGATCATTCAAAGACACTTTCAGGAAACAAAATTAAAGGCATAATCTTTGCACTAAGATATGTCTCTCTCCCTCACCAGAAAACATCTGTGAAGTCCTATTACAAGTTAGCAACTGGCTGAATTTAGAGATCTAAAAATTACGCTAGGTCATCGGATTTTCTCAAAACCCCTAAACATAGTGGTCATCAACCTGAAAAGGAAAGAAGGCTGCTAGAGGAAAAGGCACAAGCAACAAGAGAAATGACAACTAACCTCTAAATCCTCTCTAAAGACAGCACTGAATTACAGGGTTGCAAAATCTAAGCAGGGGACACCTGGGGGGCTCAGTTGGTTGTGTCTGCCTTTGGCTCAAATCATGATCTCAGGGTCCTGGGATCAAGCCCCCAAGTCGGGCTCCCTGCTCAGTAGGGAGTCTGCTGCTCCCTCTGCCCCTCTTCCCTAGTTTGCACTCTCTCTCTCTCACAAATAAAATCTTATTTAAAAAAAAAGAAACTAAGCAGTACTCAATTTTTTAAAAAATTACATCATTGAAAGTCTTTGTAACCCAGAATTTATTTCCACTTTCAAAAGTTATAAATGGTAATGAAATACTCAGATCAGTCCACAAATCATCCATGGTATCTCATTATTATTACAATATCCAACAGCATGTATAATAACGTTGTTATTGGAAAATGCATTCAGAGTTCCAACATGGAAAGAAAGGACTGTTTTTCTAATGTCACAGCCTTGTTAATGAGACAGTAAGTCCTCCTTTCACCCACATCAGTAGGCGGGAGGAGGTAGGAAGAAGCAGGCAAACGAGAGCAGGGACCAAGGTTCCAAAGTCAACTGCTGAGGTTGAGAAACAGCAGTTAGGACATAAAGGCTGCATCATCCTGTGAAAATGTACACAGGTGTTGGGATTTTTAAGATGGGAGAAACAAGGGACGCCTGGGTGGCTCAGTTGGTTAAGCAGCTGCCTTCGGCTCAGGTCATGATCCCAGTATCCTGGGATCGAGTCCCACATCGGGCTCCTTGCTCAGCAGGGAGCCTGCTTCTCCCTCTGCCTCTGCCTGCCATTCTGTCTGCCTGTGCTTGCTCTCTCTCCCTCTCTCTCTCTGACAAATAAATAAAATCTTTAAAAAAAAAAAAAAAAAAAGATGGGAGAAACAAGAGTGGGAAATGAAAAAACGTTTTCACCTTTTCCCCCTTCCACTCATCCTTTCTATGTTCCCTTTCCCCTTCCATCTGAGGAAAAGTCCCATGAGATCAGAGGACTCTTCCCAGGAATCCAGGCAAATGACCCTTCTTTTTAAGTGATTTTATCATCACTTGTACAAGGAGAGAAAGCTTACGAACAATGGTATGTCTGATCAAACTAAGAAATCAGAAAAAGAATCTTAGAAAGACATGCATCCAATGCTTTGGCTACTTCAACTGTTAAGCTTCAGCTGAAACTGAAAGCTTTTCATCTGCAAAGCTCATTCACCCAAGATTTCTTCTCCAGTTATGTTAGATAACTATGAAACAAAAAGACATAATACAGTCACAAGACTGAGTACATACGAGCATACATATATAGATAAGCAAAAAAGACAAATTCTGCACAGGAAGAGACTCTGAAGAAATAAAAATTTTAATAGTGTGTCTTTGGATACTACATAATCTGTGTTTCCAAATAAGAAGGTATTTTATGAGTCCAATAGCAAATGATCAAGTTAGGAAATATGTGAAACAAAACAAAACAAAAAATCTGTGAAACAGATAACACATAGAAAAATACTGCAAAATTACCTAGGGTCCTAGATATATATTTTACTATTTTGTTCTCTTGTAGCATTTTTTTCTGTGTACACATCTATTTTTATATAATTATATATACAACATACAGTTTGTATTTTACAGTCCTGATTTCTGCTTTTTCCACTTAATATTAAATTGTGAACATTTTCTGGGCCCCTGTATCTTTGAAATAACATAAATTTCAAGAGTTACCTAGTATCCTATTATATGGATGTACAATAATTTAACAATTCCCCTACTGCAGATCATTTAGTTTGCACCAAGTTTTCACTCAAAAAATAGAGTTTCATGATCACTCATATAAAACTTTTAATGCATGACTGGTTATTTCTCTAGGACAGATTAATTACACATGGCTTGATAATAAAAGGATATGAAAACTTTAAGGCTTCTGATACATACTACTTAACTGCTTTTCAAGATGGCTCTAAGACTTGCCAGTTCTACTAGGAACCTATACATGTGCCCAAGTAGGTACATATACATTTAATGTTTAGAATTTAAGATTTATAAATTGAAGTTTTCCCATTAAAATTATACATATTGTCTTGTTCACCTAAATCTTTACCAACAAAGATTATACTGAACTACTTCACAAGATTAGCTGAGATCAGAAGCATTTGTGTTCGTGTTTGTAAATGAAAAAGAAACAAGAGGGAGGGCTAGCGATTATAAAATATCTGGTGTCTTGATGAGTCAAAGTGCAAGTTTAATTTACTCACAACAAGGACAGTTCTCCAGAAGAAGACGGCAAATGAACCAATTCCCAAGAAGGCGGTGATAAGTACAGGTTTCCATGGCAAGCCATAAAAATCAGGCCCAGGCTGAACATCATCAGGCAATGTTGCGACTAACTGAAACAGAAATATTGGAAATAACAAGAATCCATGAAGAATTTAGAACAGAACAGTCACAAAGAACCATCCACAGAAATTCTAAACCGACCTCCACCAGGTAACTACCCCCTCAAAATTCTTTAGTAGCTTCCACTGCTTCAATAGAGATGGGATACTGGCAGCCTCTTATTTCTTGTCTGGCTTCAAGTATTTCTGAATATTATGAATCTAAATGTATTTACGCTGAACACATACTTCCAGTTTGCAACAGGACCTACCACATCATGTCGTCTTGGACACGTCTAATCTCTTTGGATCAGACTTTCCTTAGTTAACTCATAACTTAAAAAGCCACATAAAACACAATATTGAACACCCTAGAGAGAAAATCAATTTGTATGGCGGCAAATAAAAGCAAAATGATAGCGAATAACCCAAATAATGTGCTTCTCCTCTAAGATTTTCCATCTTTATTCTACTGTTACATAAAAAAAGCTGAGTAAGCTCAGACGGCTCCGCGTAACTGGTCCAGACCGCGGCTCTGAATGTAACCGTCTTCTACATAACGCCGTGCCTGCATTTTAAACGCTTCCTTGAATACAGTTGTATGAAACACTGTCCCACCTTCTACGAGCACACAGCTACCATGCTGGTCCCAACCCAAACAATGCCAGAGGTCACTAGAAAAGGACCCCAAGAGATCGTGACTTTCTACCGGAAAATAACAAAGCGCCTGCTACAATCTAAGAAATCAGTAAAAAATTAACAGGGGACGAAACCTTAAAATCACTCCCCCCGGCTTCCCCAAACAGCACTGCAACGTCTTGCCTGCCTCGGCCCCGACCCACTCCAGTTCTCCCTCCACCCGTCAGCGCGCCAACTCCGCTCACAACTCGTCTACCCGCCTGCCGGAGCTGGGGTCCCTCCCTGGTCATGGGGAGCCTCACCTCCAGTAGCTTGGCTATGAGGGCTGCGTAAAGGACCGACAGGGGTCCCAGAAGCTCCGAGTCCCCGGGGGAAGCGGTGACAGAAGGCACAGTGGCAGGAACTGAGTCCATCGTGAGGGGGCAGCTGAGAGACGGCACGTTCCCCCCTCGGAACAGCACCGAAGGCCACTTTCCCACCGCTTCCTCCCCCGGAAAAGATCCGGCGGAGGAGGCGGCCACTGGGAGTGAACTTCGCCTTCCTCAGGCGAAGGCACTCTCTGCCGTACGCCTCCAGGAAATACGTCATCAGACAATGCCCCTTTTATGACGTAAAGGCGCCTACGGAGGCCCGGCCCGCGGTAGGCGGGGCCACGGCGGACGGAACCAACGGTCGCCGGAGCGGCCGCCGGAAGGCGGCGCGCTGACAGAAGCCTCACCTGCCGCAGGAGCTGGGGCCTCCGTGTCAGAGGAGCAGGGGCTGGGACTGGAGCGAAACCTCCCGCTCATGCCCCTCAAGGCTAGCCTTGTGACACTGCGTGCCGAGACCGCAGGCACCTGTCCCACTGCCCAGACGGGAGAGCAGCCTCTCCCACGCCCCGAGTAAAGACACCCTCCCCGGTTCTCCAGAGCGAGGCCTGGCTGCCCGAGTATCTCCAGTTCCCCGAAGCTCCGCTTTCCCCTTCCTAGTCCACAGGCTCACGCTGTCTCACATTCCTGCTGGTGCTCTGGAGTAAGGCTTCTTCTAAAGAGCCACGTCATTACCACACCATACCCAAGGGTCCCGTAGGTTATAGTTACGTGACTTTTGGAAAAGGACGGGGAATATGCATAGGCACGTTCTAAAAGTTGAAAAAACTGGGCGCCTGGGTGGCTCAGTGGATTAAAGCCTCTGCCTTCGGCTCAGGTCATGATCTCAGGGTCCTGGGATCGAGCCCCGCATGGGGCTCTGCTCAGCGGGGAGCCTCCCCCCCCCCATGCCTGCCTCTATACTTGTGATCTGTCAAATAAATAAATAAAATCTTAAAGAAAAAATAATAAATAAAAGTTGAAAAAACTGAGGACATGTAAAAGGGACAATGATGTTTGTAAATCTTTAAAGGTATGTCTTCCAGTTTAATATAAAAATTCAGAACAATCAGGAAAATCCTCAAAAAGAAGAGCAATGGAGGTGGGGAGGGGAGGTGAAAACAGGCCACACAATTAAAACAGTAGGGAACTGACCCAAGAATACAGATGGATTATGAACAGAACAGAAAATCCAAAAATACACCCAACTGCACTGAAAATTTAGAATATAATAAAAGTCAGCTGGGGAAGAAGACTTTAATAAGTGACATTAGTATAACTAAGCCATATGGAAAATGTTAAAATTGGATTTTTTTTCATAAGGATAAATTCCAAATGATCAGAAACCTGAATGTAAAAAATGAAAACAAGTACCAGGAGACATGAGTGAGTTTCTCCATGTATTATGAGTGATCAAAATTCCTAATTATGCCCCAAAATCCAAGAGAAAAGAATTGCCAACAACTTGAAAATAAAAAATGTGCCTAGCCCCTGCATGCAAAAAAATACGAAATGTCAAAAAAGTTTGACAACCAGAGAAAAAATATTTGTAACATTAGAGACAAAGAGTTAATATTCCTAAAGTATGAAGAACTGTAGAAGTAAGCAGAGAAGAAAACAGCCCCAAACCTATAGAAAAATGAGCCAAAATAAAAGAATCAGCAGTTCTCAGGAAAAGAAATAGGAAAAGCTCACAAACATACGGAAACATGCACTGCCTCACTCATAATAAAAGAAAAACAAATTAAACCTACACTGAGATACCATTTCTCACTTATACTGGCAAGATCTAAAACATCTGACAACATACTCTATTGGTGAGAGAATGTAGGGGAAACAAGTACTCTCACATGTTGCTCATCGTTCCCCAAAACGACACAACCTCTATGAATGGGAATTTAGCATCATCTCTCCAAATTGTGTATTTACCTTTTAATGCAACAATCCCACTTCTAAAGATCTCAAAGATACTGTGGACACAACAAATGTTAAATAGATATATAAACAAAACTATGTTAATCCAGCGTTATTTATAAGAACAAAAGACTACAACCAACCAAAATGTCCATCAGTAGAAGAGGTGCTGAATACACTGAAGTTTACTGTGAAACTGGAAAAAAATAAATTTTATATACTGCTAGGGTATGGTTTCCAGAATGTTTTTTTTTTTTTAAAGGAGGGGTGGAAAAATGTAGAATACTACTTTTACGTAAGAAAGTAATGAGACAAATAAGTATTTTTTATGGCTCTGAGATAAAATTCACATACAATAAATGGCATATATTCAAAGTGCACAATCTGATAAGTTTCGACACACGAATACACCTGTGAGAACCTCATCACATTCCAACTGAACATATCCTTCACCTCCACATGTCTCTTCATCCCACCTCCTGCCACTTACGGACTGGGCCTGTCCAAACAGAAGTTCTCTATCATAATAGTTTGCATTTCCTACAGTTTTATATATGAAATTTATAATCACCATGTATCCTACTTCCCTGGCTTACCTCACCAGCACAGACATTCCCCCATGTTGCCGCATTCATCAATAGGTAACTATTCCTTTTCATTGCTGAATGGAATGAATTTCACTGGATGGACCTAGCACAATTTGTTTATTTATTCAGCTATTGACGGGCATTTGAATTTTTCTCAGTTTTTAGCTTTTATGAATAGAGAGGCTATGAATATTGATGTACAAGTACATGGATGTAGATGCAGAATTTATTTTTTCAAGGGTACATGCTTAGGAAAGGGATGGTTGGAGCATCTGACATACACCTTTCTAAGAAACTAACAATCAATTTTCCAAGGTGATGAACCACTGTACATCCCCCACCAGAAGTGTATATTTCCAGCTTCTCCACATCTTCTCCAATACTTGGTATTTTAATTTAAATCATTCTTTTTAATTTTAGTCATTCTAATAAGTATGTATGATAATTCATGGTGATTTTAATTTGCATTTCGCTGAGAAGTAATGATGTTGAGCATTTTTTCATGTGCTTATTTCCTATGCACACATCTTATTTGGTGAAGTGTTAACTTTACTGGTTTATTTCTTATGAATGAGCTTTAAGAGTTCTTTATACATTCTGCATATTAAGTCCTTGTTCATATATACGCTTTGCAACGATTTTCTCCTAATCTGTGCCTTGTCTTTTCATTCACTTAACAGTGTATTATGAAAAGCAGGAATTTTTATTTTGATGAAATCCAAATTATCAAATTTTTCTTTTATGAATGAATCTTTTTTCGGTGTTAAATCTAAGAAGTCTTTGCTTAACTTTTTTCTGTAAGTTTTATGGTTTTAGGTTTTACATTCAGTTCAATGAAGCATTTTGAGTTCATTTATGTTTATGACTGAGCTATGAATTAATTTTTTTGCACAGGGATATATCCAATAGTTCCAGTCCTGTTTGTTGAACAGACATCTCTTTCTCCACTTTGTTTCTACCTTTGTCAGAAGTCCATTGCCAGGTATGTATGGATCTACTTCTGAACTGTCTATTCTATTCTAGTGATCTTTTTGTCTATCTTACATTGATACCATGCTCTCCTAATTACCATAACTTTATCGTAAGTCTTGAAATCAGGTCATGTTTGTATTGTTCAAGGTCCTTGGAATTTTCTATATGAATTGTATAATCAGCTTGTCGTCTTCTACCAAAAAATCCTCCTGAGATTTTGATCAGGATTATGTTGACTCTGGGGATCAAAATGGGGAGCTTAATATTTAACACACTGTTTGTCATAGTGACAATATGATAGCTTAACAATATTTAGTCTTCTGACTCTCAAACAATGGATATCTCTCCATATTTAGGTCTTCAATTTTCTATCAGCAATATTTTATAGTTTTCAGTTATAAGTCTCACGGTATTGCCAGATATATCCTTAAGTACTTCATATATTTTGATGCTATTGTACACAGAAGACTTTAGTTTTAATTTCCAACTCTTCATTGCTAGTACATAGAAATACAGATGCTTTTAGATGTTAATCTTTATCGGGCAACCTTAC